GTCTTAAGGAGTTGGTCATACAGTCTCCTGGAGCATTTGCGCCTAGAAAGTGAGCCACTGCTGCTAAAGCAAACAACTAAACAAAGCTTAAAGTGTAAGTGCTCAGCATGCACAGTAAATCACAGTAAACCAGTGCACATGCACTCAGAGCCACTTCATTATGGCTGGAGATCTCAGACAGTTTGAGGCAGTTAGTTAATATGACTCTCATGACTGATTTATAGATAGTAAAAATGTCAAGCAATTTGAATTTCAGGATGTATAAAGCCCCAAAGAGTACCCTACTATTAGAGCAACGGTGTCCAACTGCTGAAAGGAGGGAATCGTACCCTGGGTTGCCATGGAGCACACCTGGGGAAAGGAACGAAGTTTTTTTGGCAACAAAATAAATGACAACGAGCAGGGATTCTTATTTCTGGAAAGATACCCCAATTCATTTTACTATTTACCTCCTAAGGAAGGAAGAAAAAAAAAAAAAAAAAAGGCCCCTCAAAGCAAACAAGGAGAATGGCTCTTCATCCACAATAGTATGACTGAATCCAGAATTTCTGAAGTCTAATATTCCATGGACTTCTCTCCTACAACCTCCAGTGCAGATGCCAATCGTTACTGACTGTAACACTTCTTTCAGCAATCTGACATTTTATTTTTGGTTAAACCAGAAACAGGACTGTGTTAATCCAAACATATCGCATCACTTCCACAGTAGCCAAGCGCTGGGCAAGCCTCCTGTTCGCTTCCACGCCGGATCGGTATTTAACCAGGAAGGCACAAGCGAAAGGCCGCGGTTCCTAACGTTTGTGCTCACTCCAGCCAAGAGACTTCGAACAACATTTCAAATACTGGAAGTAAAACAAATCACCCCAGATGGGCTTGTGGAGCCCCGCGGCAGCAGCAGCACCACAGCCCCCACTCAGCACCACTCCGCGCCGCAGCCCCCGCTCAGCACCGCTCCGCGTCGCGGCCAGCTCCTGCCAGACACCCCAGTGGGAACCGTGGCAGCCAGTGTATGTGCGCAGCGCCGGGCTCCCGGTTCTGCTCCAGGGAGGCAGTAATGGGGTAGTTTCCCAGCTCTTTTCCTCTTGCTTTGCTCACAACTGCTTCTGGTATGTTTGTTTTCAAAGACTGGACAGAGACAGATATCCCCATGCATACCAAGGAAGAAAAAGATTGTTCACTTCTCCTTTGGGAGTAACAGTAGCTGAAGAATCACAGGAAAACAAAGAAGCTATATAGAACAGTGTCAGCTGAGAGCAAGAAGAGACTTCCCATCATAAAAACCACCCTTTCTTTGACAGAAGTTTTAGTTTCTCAGTAAAGAACTACCCAAGGACAAATAGTTCAGAGCTCCTTTAATCCTACAGATCTAATCTTCAGCATAACCACAAAGCCTGTAACAATATCAACCACGTCTTGGGAGATTTCAGTGAATTCTTTTGAGATTCCATTGAAAAATGTGTTCAAAAGTAACTGAATATTATTTTAATAAAGCTATTGTGATTCTGCTGTGGCTTAGTTACCAGAAATACATTTTGCCCTTAAATCTTTTGTCACAACCAGTGCCTACAGGACAAGCTAATTATATACCACATCCCACCTCCTTTTACTTCTGCTAGAACAGTCCAGCATCAGTTAAAATCACCCAATCTATTTTGGAACAGCAGCAAAGATGAAAAGCTGGCAGAAAAACAGTACTAGAGTGCAACATTCATCGCTGCAGGCAGTTTTTGCAGATGGCAGCAGTCCATGAGAACGAAAACAAAAAAATCAGACTGAAATGTAGGGTACATAGGAACTACAAGCGATTCAGCAAAAATACAGGTTCTTGCAGAGCAGTTCAAACCAGATGTGTTTTCACAATTAGAACAGCCAAGCCCAGAGAGGCTGTGCAGCCTCCATGCTTGGAGGGTTTCAAGACCAAAGAGCTAAGTAACCTGGCCTGTCCTCATAGCTCATCCTCCTTTGAGCAGGAGATTGAACTAAGTGACCTCCTAAGGTCTGTCCCAACCAGAATTTTCCTATGATCCTGACCACTGAGTCCAGATTTCCAAGTTTCCCTTCCCCTAACTCCTCTCCAAGGCAGAAGCTGGTGTTATTAAAATTATGCATAACCTTATCCCAACCCAGCAATTAATTCTCTAAGGAATTCATTTCAAATTTTAAATTAAGAAAAAAGATACAGAGAGATCTGGTTTTCAAAGCATTGAAAATAAATGTCGTGAGATGCTTTAGTCTACACATGCCACACATGTACTGTGATCCATCTTCAAAAAAGACTTAGAAACATCACAAAAGGATATTACAGCTTTTTACAATATACAAATACAGGTACACTGTATATTGAAGAAAAATTCAATGGTTCTTTTACCCTTTTTCCTTGTCTAAACAGGAATGGAAAGTCAGCAAAATTAAGATACAGACCCAGGAAATACAGAATGACAGCACGGGTACAAGGAAACACGCTCACCAGATTTAGAACGTACAGAGGGAGCCAAGAGGGAGGAATACATGAGAAGAAAAAGCAGGACACATTAGCTTTAAACTATGAGAAAAAGAGACAAAGAATAACAAAGGCATGCCTAGAACACATAATGTAACAAAATGATCAAAGAGAATTCTAAGAGCAGTGCAGAACTATACAATACATATGAAAAAAAAAAATTACCTTATAGAATGGCAGCAATTTCTTCTTAGTGGTCCACCAGCAGCCTGCCTTCAGAAGAGAAGATTTCATCCCCTTCTCCATCCCCTGATTCAACTGCTGTCTACAAGAACTCCAAACCAAGGGATCCATGGTACAGCAGAGCTTGCTGCTACACTCCATTTCTATGCCTCTCTACACCCCTTCCATTTGTAATCGTAGCACAAAATAGCTTTGAAAAAGTGGGCAAAATATCACTTAAATTAAAACTCTAAATACAATTGTTTCTATTCACATAACTTGCATATAACACAGTTTTCCTTCAATCGCAAAAATATGTTGGTTCAGTTCTGTTAGGAAAAGGTGATCTTTGAAGACTTACCATTTATCACCCAAGTCCGTGACTGACAGGAAATACACTGTCACATCACTTTTTGCTTTCTAATGATACAAAGTATTAGGTATTTTAGCAAAATAAACCTGTTGATTTGTTGATTTATAAACAGAATGACCCTGTTAAATAACTTCTAACTTCATTAAGGCATATGGAAATAAACAGTTACGGGATCTAACCAGACTGACTGCTGCCTAAAATTCCGCAGCATTTCTTCACTCAGCTGCACCACGTAGTGTTAAGTTTGGGCAAAGGGAATAAGGATATGGGCACGGACATAACATTTCATCAACAACCCCCAAACAGCTGGTACAATAAATAAAGTTTGAAGGCACAGATGAGACCTCAAATGATACTGTAACTGATCAACACAGAAACGTTGCTCCAGATTAAAATCCTGACCACGTTCCCTCAACACCTTTGATGACCTTAACTGTCTAACAAACTAGGGACCTTTAACAGGTCAGAGCAACGAGCTCCCCAGGAACAAACACAAGCTGTAAGGTTTTAATTCAGAAAACAGAGACAACAATAATCAAACGGGAAATGTTTTATTTAAGCAACAAGTTAAAAGTAAAAGCTATTCTACCAAGCAAGGCTTTAAAACTTTTTGTAGCAAAAGTTAAACAGCCAGTGAGAAGCGCAGTAGAATTAAGGAGAGAGGGATATGTGCAGTGATAAGTCTTCTCTAAACTTGCTTCCAGTCTGTACAAATAACTGCAAAATCAGTAACTAAAACCCCTCAGTAATCTGCCAATATCCGGCGAAAAACATTTTTAATTCATTGAAGTTATTCCGAACCACTCAAAATGCACGTTAGGATCATGCATCTCTCTCACCTACCTGTAGGCGTGCACTGAAATACCATTCCCAGCCTATATCAAAGAGAGTGCAATTTTAGTGTTACCTTCCTGTAGGTACAAGAAGTAGCCAGTCTGCAAAGCTATCCTTAAAGAACTCCCGACACATGTAAAGCTGCTGTTCTGTGAGTTACGTTTTCACTTCCTTCGGTTTCATGTCTCTTATCCCAAGAGCTACAAAGTGCACTTCATGGGGAATGGAGAAAAATGTTAGTGTATGGCACCCCTAGTCTAAATTACAGAAAATGAATGTGAAGTACCACGACCAGCTGGCATTATCCTGAGAACAGCCAAAAAGTAAATCCGTTTGCATTAGTGAGAGAGCACACCTTCACAGGATGTGTACACGTAAAGTGTCTTACCTGAAAAGATCTTTAAGAACGCACACTATTGGACAAAAGCATAATCCAAAAAAGAAGAGAGCGCTAGTTCTGGTGAAAACAAAGTTGCTGTAGGTAAGAGCCCACTGACCGGCAAGCACAGA